TGACCGTCCTTTCATACCTTCCTGCTGGCTAGTAGTGGCTCTCGAACCCATACTTCAGCCTCGACAGCATCTCTCTGTTCGAACGACCAGTGTCCTGCCCTGCCTGGCTCCATGGACAGCTTGACCCGTCTTCAACGCGTGCTGTCCTTGGACTCTCGTCCTCGTGTCTCTACAAGTCTGGCTGCCCCTCGAAAGCTACTAGCTGCACTGACTATCCGAAAGCCTCGGCAGATTTGACCTTGTGGCTCGCAAATAGACGGGCACTTTTAAGCGCAGCATTCTAGGATCCGGAGCCTTTAGTTCCCTCATCGAGTCGGACGCGTCCGGGGCTCGTTCGCACACTCTTAATTCTCAAATTGGGCCTCATGGACAGCCGCGCCCTTGCCGTGTTTTTATGTAGGTCGTATTGCGTTTAATTCCTGGAATCGTGGACGCACTGGATCCTCAAAGATTACAGAGAAATCCAAGGGCGAGCACTGATCTTGCGCACCGCCACTTGATATCCTGGTTCGTGAGCTCCGGTGGCGGCAGACGCTTTCGCCAAAATGTCAGCTGCATGTTGCTTCTCCGAGTCCGGCGCGGGCAATACGTATGTCAGATACACCAGTCCTGCAGTGCTGCCCCGTCCATTCTATCCTACCCGTGCTCTGCTCAGTCTGGCACCCGCCCCTTATTCTGTTCGCGAATACTTTGGCTGTATCCGCGCCCTCCGATGACGCTAACTTTATCCGGCCCTGCATCCTGGAGCCAGACTGTATTCAATCTGCCCGCTGGAACCAACATCAGCATCGTTTCGAGTTCAATCATCCTGCTGGAAGATATCACTGCACTTCACTTCAACTCCGCCTCAACCAAGTCGCAACTCTGGAAGTATGTACAGTGCCGCTAAGTTCTTCGGCCAGTACAGCCTGCCGCCGCAATTTCTTGAAACTTCTAACAAGACCGCGTCGATTCGAGATAAAATCTTCTGTCCTCTCAAACTGACAAGCTCACGTTCAACGAGTATGGTGAATATTTATAGTTGATACTTCACTGCGGAATATATATGTTTCCCTTCCTAAAATCTTTATCGGCCTGGTGGTGTAGCGGCAACACACCTGTTTACAGTTCCCCTTCTTGTACCGATTTCAGCAGGAATCCCTTGTTCCGGAGTCAAGGCTAGGCCCCTTTTTCTTGGGTTGTTCGCAGAACTCATGTACGTAGTAAGCTAAGTTTGAGAGAGTTCATGGTAACGGCCTGGTGGTGTAATGTTTACACCCCTGTTTCTATAGTCAGGAAAATTCATACGACAGGAGATCCTTGTTCGAGTCAGGCTGTTCCTCCATCTCATCTTTGCGCCAGAAATCATGTACGTAGTCATGTTAGGTATGTTGAGGTGCTGGTCTGGTGGTGTAATGGTAACATACCCGTTTCTTATGCAGAAGAGTTCTGGTCTTCGGTGGGGATCTTCGTTTGATTCAAGGTCAAGCAATGTTTTTTTTCTTGAGGTTGTTGACAGATCCCAGAAGTAATAGATCTAATCATCCGAAGAGAGTTTGAGAACGGCCTGATGGTGTAATGGCAACACGCCTGACCATATTCAAAGTATACCATCGGTTTACAGGGAGATCCTTGCTCGATTTAAAGCTAGGCCATATTTTCTTTGTCTTGCTTTTCTTTTGCATTGTTCTCAGAAATCATGTACGTACTCAGTGTTAGGGAGGCTATAGGAAGGGTTTGGTGGTGTAATGGTACACACCTAGTTTCCATAAAGTCCATGAACCTCTCTCGGTGGGAGTTCCTTGTTCAATTCAAGGCCTTCCTCCGCGGGGCGTGTAACCTTCCATACCCTCAGTATCCTTATTTTTCTGACATTTTATTCATTCCCAGCTCGTAAATTCCGCTTGCTACTCTCAACGACGTGCAGTGATTTTTTTTTTGAACTTCAACACGAACGGGCACGTGCTTCGGCAACGCCTCTCTTGCTTTTTTCGCTTCCACCGCTCGCTTTTCTGAGCGGCCCTTCGATCCATCTGTCTACGTATTCGTACCCCTCCAGCTTTGTGCCCACACTACGTCCAGGTGGCGCGCTAAAATCTGCACCGGCGCTGACTTGCAGGGTCAAGTACTTAGTTGATGCTACTCTCGTCAAGGCCTTTTCTGGGATCTCCATCCCCAGGGGGAGCACGTACAGCTCGCTCTACTACGTCTACGCTTCTTTCGTACTCGGGTCGATTCCCTGCCCAAGGACTTCGAAATCTCCTCTGCCGAATCAGTTGTTGACTTTAAGTCGCATAATTGAAAAGGAATTATTCACCCTTCATCGAATTCATGTCAACGGGCCTTCTGAGGACAAATTCTGCTGCTCAAGACCGCTGATATAACCTTATCCTATATCCCCAATTCAGCTTCTGGTAGACTGATCCGGCAACCTTGCTCTCTGATTCAATCTGTGCCCAATCACCGACGCGCCGACGCGCCATTAATTCACGTGGCCGTGTTTGCGACATGCACTGCCCAAGCACTGCCTTCACATTTCATCATGTCGTCTCCCTTCACCTCGAAGCTAGGGACCAATTATTGTCCCCAGGATGAGGAGATATTGCAGATCCAGACTCTCCTCGTGGAACCCACTCTTCGATTAAAGCGTCTCGACGATGAAATCGCTGTTTTGCAGAAGGCGCTTGATAAACTGGCAGAGGAGCGTGCCGGGATCAGTGCCTATGTGGACACCCACAAAGCTCTCATTTCCCCCGCTCGGCAATTACCACTCGACGTTATCCAGGAGATCTTCACAGCCTGCATTCCAACGCACCGCAATTGTGTTATGAGCGCCATGGAGGCACCCGTCCTCCTCGGGCGCATATGCAGCTCCTGGAGATCCATATCCCTCTCGACACCCCGCCTCTGGTCTCGGCTTCACATCGTGGAGCCTCATTTTACCGATCCTCCAGATTTGTTCGAAAAGAAGCTAGCCCAACGACTCGAGACTACCAAGATGTGGCTCGGTCGGTCTGGTAACTGCCCCCTGTCCATATCACTGCAATCCAACGGCCTCAACTACTTCGCGGCGTCCCAAGATCGGTTAATTCCGGCCCTGCTCCCTTTTGCATCGCGTTGGGAGCACATCAGTTTCACAGCCCTTTTATCCCGCCTAGGGATCGTGTCACACCTTACCGAGGCGGATGTGCCAATGCTCAAGTCGGTCAGCATTAACGAGCCCTTTGGGGACTTTGAAGATGCCATCCGATGGGATTCATTCGGCTTCCTTCGCGCGCCAAAAATCTCCTCTTTTAGTTTGAAAGGTGGCAGATCCATGGACTTACCGCTTCGCTGGGATGGTTTAATAAACCTGTCGATCACAACAACATGGGATGCTCAAAGTTCACTGACGAGCGAAACGGCGCTGCAGGTGCTCTCCCGCTGTCCTCAGCTGCGTACTTGCGACCTAGTCGTTGATGATCCTCCCGATATCGTCAGCAACAGGCTCGAAGAGCCCGTTCTCGAACTCTCGTTTCTTCATACACTGGATCTAGGCTGTGGCACCTTTCAGGCCGTCTGCCGCTTGTTCGGCTGTGTCTCTTTTCCACAATTGCGGAACTTGAAACTTCGCGGAATTTCGGATAACGAGAACATGGCCGATGTCCGTTTTCTCGCCACTGCTCCGCTCATCGAAAAGCTCGAAATCATTAATGGAGAGTTCTCAAAGCTGTTTCTCGCTAGTTTCCTTCGCGAGCTACCGTTTACCCTTCGCGAACTCAACATCAGCGTAGACTTCAGCGTAGACTTCCCAGGCTACGACAATCCCAGTTTCGATGACGAGGTTTTAGAATCCTTCAGCCCCTCTGTCGACTTCCCCACTCCATGTTGCCTGGGCCTTCAGGTGTTGGAGATCCAATACTACTGCACCATTTCCGACAAAGCACTCGTACGCTTCCTTAAATCAAGGACTCTGAAGCGCGTTGTAATCTGCTTTCACCGGGCCATGGAGCACGATATCCGCCCGGAACTGCAGCCATTGGTGCAGAATGGTCTTCATCTTGCACTCACATATAATCCGCCTGGGCAATATTTTTCTCCTTGGCAGGGTCTACCAGACGCGCCAAACTTCTTTCTCGCTCCTTGAGTGTGTACCCCTTATCCTGCATCCACACAAGGTACATTGAACGAATCTTGTGTTCAGAAACATGTCACTGACCGTCGTTGCAGGGCTTCTCGCTGGAATTATCTTTTCTTGGTTCTCATTCCCTACGAAACACGCTGTCTGGTTGTAGTTTAATGCGACAATGGCTGATATTATAACATGGTGTGAGGTCGCCGCAGAAAATGTATGTGGAATAACTGAAAATACGTATGCTTCAAACGTGAAAATGGAACGATGCGTTCGTAATGCAATCGCCCCATCCTCATGAAAATAAACACCGCAGGCGTAGACGCATGGATTGCTAGCCCAAGGGAACTTTCTCTCGCAAGGGCGCGCTCGCAGGCCCATCCGGCGTCCCCTTGCAATCCGCCGCCTCTGATTGTAACACTGAAAAGGGAGGAATACAGAACCCTTCCCCCGACGCAAGTCGATAGATGACTCGGCGCCCACATGCGCACACCACTATTACCTGTGAATATAAACTCTCGAATCCTTGTATTGCCATTCAGTCCTCCTCCGCAGCTTTGGCTCTGCATAAAACAGGTTGTATTTTAAGCTTGAGCTAATAGTAAGTTAAAGACGAACCCCAGGAAGCTCAATGCGCGGAAATCCCAGACCGAACGCTGTATGGCCGACCCACGAGCCGCGCCGGCGCGCGGCGTCAAGCACTGCAGGTGAGAGGCGGAATCGTAGCGTCCTCGCATCGACCTATACGCCCGTGGACTCCCCGTTCCGGCGTTCCCTCGTTTCCCGCATCCTTATACCTCGGCCGCAATCTCAAAAAGTTAAAACGCGCCTCGCATTGACACCGGTCCTCGAACAGGAACTCCAAAAAACTGCAACGAGCGAACGCGCGCGCTCGCAAACGAAAAACATGACGTGCACGCCAGCACGCTGCTGCGTCCATACACCGATGTACTGTAGGCCCGTTCGCCTCCTCACACTGAGGCCGACCCCCGCTCCACGTCCCTACCCAGGCGACGCACGCCCCTGCCCTGCCGCTTCCCATCGCCTCGAAACCGCGGCACGCGTGCCGCCAACCACACGCGGATTCGCATTCGCAGTGCCTGAATGAAAGGCCGCGGGGAGTCGAGGCGACGCGCGAGCACGACGACCTGACCCTGGGACAGGCGCTACCGCGAGCGGCCCAGGACGCACCATCGCGCCCAAATTAGCGGCACATGCGGAAAGAAAGGCGGTAACGCCTCGCCACCGGACCCGAGTCGCAGCGCCATCCCATCCCCGCCACACTCTCGCGCGCGCTGCGCCACATAGCCTCCGGCGCCGACACCCATACCCCTATTATCTCTACGAGCCCATACGCGCCTACCTGCAGCCTGCATACACTTGACACCCCGCAGCTCCACGCGCTGCTCGAGATCTCTCTCCACGCTCCTGTGACGACACCCGCGCGCGGAGACGCCGCCCACCTCAACATCTGCATCTCCGCGCAGACACCGACCCGGGAGCCGCCTCGCTCGCGGGGTCGCCTCCGCCCCGACGTAAGAGCAGAGCGACGCGTCGTACGCGCACGGGCGCGTGTTCGCCGGCTCCGCGCCCTCCCAGCAAGCGCGCTTAGCTTCACTCCATCCTCGCGATCCGTTCCTCTGTGAACGCGCTCGGGCCCGCCCCGCAAACGCGCCCTCCCGCTCCCGCTCTGCCCCCGCTCCCGCCCCTCACCCCTTGCTCACGAACACGGGCTCGCCCCCTCACCGCAGCGTCAGGACGCCCCCCAGACTGAACCCGCGTCCCAAATCCCATCCATCCAGACATCTCCCCACTAGCACGTGCTTCTCGAGCCGCAGAATCTTCGTCCCTGCGAGGCGTGTGGGTCTGCGCATCTGGAAGAAACACGAAAGTGACCTTGAGTACGTGTTTGACACCAAAACACGAAGAAACGCCTCACCTTCGTATGCATCCTCATCCACCCTCATTCGGAGTTAGTCGGTGCCGTCGTCCCGGTGTTGTGCTCCGCGTCCCCTTCAGCGCCCTCGAGAGTCCTGAGAGCTGCGCAATTGCAATCGCACTCATCAGCAGCAGCCG